TATTAAATCAGTCGTCGACGATTTTGATAGTCGACGTAATCGTGACTAGTCGACTAATCGTGGCAGCCCTATTATCCAGGTAAATACTAGGGTTTGAAAGAGAGAGAGGAGAAAACACACACACACACACACACACACACACACACACACACACAAAATAAATATTAAATTATTACAATATTAAAAATACTGATATTTTGTGGGGCGATATGTCAATACAGGGACACCAAATATGAATATTTTATTGAATAACTTAAAATACTCTGGGAGCACTATAAACTGGAGGGCGCATCTCACCTTTGTGCCAACATTTGCAAACTGACTTTGACTGATCCCTGAACACACTTGAACCAATGTAAATTTTTGAAAAGCAGAGTTTGGAAAGCCAAAACAGCCAGACAGTGAAAGTGGACAGTATATCCTTTGTTTTAACATTGTTATATCCAGGGGCAGCACAAAAGTGATCCCATTAAACAGATTTTTAGTTTTAGTCCCCTTGCTTTCCACTGTTATCCAACTAATGACAGAACTAATAACTAACTAATGCAAGCCTACACCAAACAACCAACCTGGTGACGTAATGTTCTACACTGAGAGAAGATGGCGCTAAACATGTTTTTAAAACTTTAAGCACTTATTTCTTAAATCCAGCTTCACAGACAGTGTTAGATTTGTCCGTTTTTGAGAGCAGGGCTCTATGATGCAAGTTAGGCTTAATATGTGTAGCATTTCATGTCCCCTTTCAAGCTCGGGTCCTCTACCCAAGTCCTGGAATCTTGTCCCGCATAGCATCATTGCTGTTCCTAGGACTGCGCTCCTCTGGACAGAGATCTTGGGTGTTGTTTCTGGGATCTGCTGGAGACACTTGTCCAGCTTGGGGTCACTGCGCTGATTACCAATGCGAGCACTGTTGCCTTCACATCTTCTCAAGCTCTTCTCTCAGCCTGTGGTACTTTTTTCAAGCTTCTCATGATCCTTTGTTGCTTTCACTTAGTATAGCGACATCAATTACAGTTGCGTTCCTCGGTTTATCCACAAATATTATGTCCGGTTGGTTAGCCAACATCAGTTTGTCTGTATTTGGAAGTCCCACAGGACCTTAGCTCGGTCATTCTCGACAACCCTAAAGAGCATGTCCCAGTTTAACATCACGACTTCCAGGCCATACTCGACACAGTCGTTTCCACAACACTGCTTTTCTCCCGAGGTCCCCAGAACTGTTGAAAGGAATGGCTTATTCAAAGGTTGTGGAGGTCTCTACATACACACATAAAGTTCTGTCAAAAAGTTCACCGAACTCTGATATGCACTGAATGTTTTTGTTCATCAAGTGGTTGAACTTAGCATGGCTGTTGGCTTCATTTCTATTGGTGATGCAAAGGCACGTCACAGCACAGATGCTGTGCAAGAACTCCTTGCTGGCACGATTACGCTGTACTTTGCTTAATTCAGCAGGAAACCGTTATTGTGCGACACATGCAATAGAAATTAATGGGTTTCAAAGCCTATGTGAAAAGGCCTTCAGGCTACTGAATTTGGGGTGAAACCCTCCATGCAGTGTAATGAGCTTCATTGTCTTGATCTCAGTGGCATCTATCTCCTCCTTTGACCAGCTTATTATCCCAGCAGGGTGTCTAATCACTGGCAGAGCGTAGGTGTTGATTGCCTAGATCTTGTTCTTCCCATTCAGCTGACTCCTTAGGACTTGCTTTACTCTCCGCAGGTATTTGGTGATTGTGGCTTTCCTAGCAGCCTCTTCACAATTCCTATTTGGCTGTAGGATTCAGAGGTCATTGTAGCTGCCCTCAATGTCTCTAATGCTGTAGCCATTTCCTTCTGGTAGTACAGTCGCTTCAATTCGGACTGCTCCCTCTCTAAATTCACAGCCTTTGCCATGACACAAAATCATATTCTGTACAGTATATAGCCAAAGTTTTAACAATGTAAGTATATGACTAAAACCTTTGCTAGCTTTGAGGCATCCACTGGTGACACTTGGGCACTCTCTGACAACATTTCCTCCTCTGATTCAAACCATCACAAATTCCACCACCAAAATATCACTGTTACATTTACAATGGAACTGAATGCAAAAATCCTAATTAATCATGTTTGTAGGATCTATTTAATAACTGTTCTCTGAAAAATGTGTCCTGTTAAAGGGAAATTCATATAAATACATATGCAACAAGGATATCTACC